TTCTTCATTCTCCGAGTCTTCTTCTTCCTTTTTACTCTTACCTTTGGAAATTTCAGTTTTGAAGGCTAAGTTCCTCTTTTGATGTTGTCCTTCCTCATCATTTAGTCTTCCTAGCTCAAGCTCATGCTCTCTCAACTTTCCAAAGAGCGCCATCATAGACATTGTGGCAAGGTTTTGTGAATCCGAGATGGCCGTCACCTTAGGTTGTCATTTCCTATCCAAAGATTTCAAGATTTTAACATTTAATTCATCAACATCAAAAATTTTACCTAATCCGGTGAGATGGTTCACAATGTGTGTCAAACGCTTTTGAACGTCAAATATTGTTTCGCCTTGTTGCATTTGGAACATCTCATATTCTTGGATTAGAGAATTTTTTTTGTGCTCTCTTAACATCGTCGGTACCTTCGTGGGTCACTCTTAGCATTTCCCACATCTCTTGAGCACTTGTACAAACGGAGATCCTGTAAAACTCGTCAAGGGTTAAAGCAGATGAAATAATATTTCTAGCCCTAACGTCAAATTGAGTTTTTCTATTTTCCTCCGCTGTCCATCTAGAAAATGGTTTAGAAACGTCTACTCCGTTTTCAGTAACTTTAGGAATATAGGGATCGTTTAAAATAGCATCCCAAACACCTCTATCAACAGACTCTAAAAAGATTTGCATTCTAACTTTCCAGAAAGGATAATTTTGACCCACAAAAAGTGGGGGTCTGTTGATAGACGCACCTTCGGCAAACGTTTGATTTTGTCCGGCCATTTTCGAAAAATTTGAATGACTATCAAAGCAAGCTCTGATACCACTTGTTAGAATCACGCAACGAAATGTTTGCGTGAACGGACAAAAATCAAGAGGTGGGGTGAATTGGTTTCTTAACAAAAATTAGGTTTTAAAAATTTGGGATTTTACTGATTAAAATGCTGTGTAAATGTAAATAGGATAAGGATAGAGTCTTACATAGAAGATTTATACTGGTTCGGATCAAAAGACCCTACGTCCAGTTGCTAATCACTCAAACAGAGGAGTAACGTTGTCACTATAATCAAAGTTATTACAAACAGATAACAATGGAAAAGATAGAGTAATGAAAACACCTCTCTTGAGTCACATAAGAGATGAAGAACAACTTTCCCTAGAGACGGCACAACACACAATCCACTAAGAACTCCACTTAGTGATTCTTATCGCTTCTAGCCCACACCATGTTCCAAAAACCCCTTTTTCCTCCAACAAACAGTTCTCTGGCAATCACAGCTCTTAACTTTTGTTTGAAAAAGGTTGTTCTCCTTTCTGAGAGTCATAGAGAACCTTAAGTAGATGAATTAGGGTTTGGGAATTGGGGATTTTCGAAACTTGGTGTATTGGGACTAGGGTTTTTAAAAATAGGTTTAATTTGAAGTTCAAAATGCATATTTGACTGAAATAATCGATTATCTCAAGTGTTAATCGATTATTACAAAGTCAAAATCAACAGAACCTCAAAACGCACTGGTTTAATTGATTATTTGCCCTGTTAATCAATTAACAGGCCTGTTAATCGATTAACAGGTGTGTTAATCGATTATCACAGTGAGCTGATAGAGAAAATGGTTTTTCTCACTGTAATAATCAATTATCTGGTCTTTTAATCAATTAAACCCGAGACTTTTTTATAAATATGAGTTTTTGAAGCTTCTAAAGAGTAGACTATGTACCGGCTATCTTAGACTCTAATATTACAGACTCAAACTCATCAAAACAGAGTTATTACACAATAATACAAGTCTTCAACTCTCTAAGTTCTTTTGTTCTTGAATCATCATCAAAATTAACAAGCTTCATGTCCATGTAAGTTCAACATCAAGTCCTTGTATGTTCAACAGAGTCCATATTTGTTTCTTTCGGTGATGCTTTGAAAGTAGTTGTCAAAGGTCAAGGAACGATATGGTATCAACAGAGAAATGGGCAAATTGGAGAGATCAGAGATGTATACTACGTACCTGATCTCAAAAGTAACATATTCAACATGGGATAGTTAATGGTGAAGGGGTACTCGGTTCTGATGAAGGACCGAGAACTACAACTGAAGGATAAATTAGGGAGGTTTGTTGCTTTGGTGGGAATGAAGAAAAATCGCATGTACAAACTTGAGCTGAAAAAAGTTCAAGATAAATGTATGCAATTTGATATGGAGGATGAGGCCATGAAGTGGCATTTGCGGTTTGGTCATCTTCACTTTGGTGGGTTGACTGCGTTGGTGAAAAAGGAGATGGTGCTCAAATTGCCTAAAATGGAATTCGGAAAAAGGTTCTGTGAAGAATGTGTGATTGGGAAGCAAGTGAGGACTTCTTTCCCAAGAAGTTCTGAGTGTCGAGCAAAGCAGTAACTCGGAGTGATCCATACTGATTTGTGTGGGCCAATAACTCCAGAATCTTTCAATGGTAAGAGATACTTTGTCTCTTTCATTGATGATTTTTCAAGGAAAACATGGGTTTATTTTCTGAAGGAGAAGTCAGAAGTGTTTAAAACTTTCAAGAAATTCAAAGTTATGGTGGAGAAAGAAACAAGCAAAGTCATCAAAGCAATCCGATCTGACAGAGGAGGCGAGTTCACTTCTACTGAGTTCAACAAATACTGTGAGAAACATGGGATCAAATGTTTCCTGACTGCCCCATATTCTTTGCAGCAAAACGGTGTAGCGGAACAAAAGAACCGAACCATTCTTGATATGGTTCGATCTATGTTGAAAGGGAAGAATATGCCAAAGAATTTTTGGGCAGAGGTGGTGCAGTGCGCAGTCTATTTGCAAAATAGATGTCCACATGCAAGGTTAGGAGAGAAGACGCCTCAGGAGATATGGAGTGGTATGAAGCCGAGTGTCTCTCATCTGAAGGTGTTTGGTAGCGTGGCCTATGGGCAAGTACCAAGTCAGCACAGAACTAAATTAAAAGATCGGAGTAAGAAGTACATATTTATCGGGTATGATGGAAAATCTAAAGCATATAAATTGTTTGATCCTATTAATAATAAAGTGGTGGTAAGCTGAGATGTTCATGTGGAAGAAACAAAACATTGGTGCTGGAGTAACCTGGCAGAAGAAGAAACTAGTTCAGAAATTGTTGTGTCTTCAACAATAACAACCATTGAGTCCTCAGATAAAGAAATAAAGTCACAACAGCCCAAGATGAGAAGTCTGCAGGAAATATACGACACTACAAATGAAGTTCATGTTGTATGTCTTTTGGCTGACTCTGAAGACTTGAGTTTTAAGAAAGTTGTCCAAGATGAGAAGTGGAGAACAACCATGGATGAGGAGATTGGAGCGATTGAACGCAACAAAACTTGGGAGCTGACTGACTTTCCTAAAGGAGCTCAACCCATTGGAGTAAAATGGGTGTACAAAAAGAAGATGAATGTTGAGGGAGAGGTTGAACGTTACAAGGCTCGACTTATGGTGAAGGGCTATATACAAAAGGAGGGAATTGACTATGATGAAGTATTTGCTCCTGTCACGAGAATGGAATCAATCCGACTTCTGATCTCATTAGCTGCTCATAATCAATGGTCGATTCTACAGATGGATGTGAAGTCGGCATTTCTAAATGGAGTGCTGAAGGAAGAGGTGTATATTGAGCAACCACTCGGGTACATGAAGAGAGGAGATGAGAAAAAGGTATTGAGATTAAGAAAAGCTCTCTATGGGCTGAAGCAGGCTCCTCGTGCCTGGAATGAGAGAATTGATGGGTATTTTAAGAAAAATGGGTATGAACAATGTCCATATGAGCATGCTTTGTACACAAAGAAATCAAAAAAAGATATGATGGTAGTCGCTCTTTATGTCGACGATCTCATATTCACTGGAAGCAACACGAAGCTAATTAAGGAGTTCAAGGAGGTAATGAAGAAAGAGTTTGAAATGACAGATTTAGGGCTGATGAAACATTTTCTTGGCCTAGAAGTGAAGTAGTCAGAGGAAGGAATTTTTATATCCCAAGAGAGGTACGCACTTGAAATCTTAAAGAAATTTAAAATGGAGGGTTGTAACCCGATTTCTACTCCAATGGAACCGGGCACTAAACTCTCAAAGTTTGATGGAGGAGAACGAGCTGATTCTGGGAGATATCGAAGCTTAATCAGAAGTCTGAGATACCTTACAAGCACAAGACCCTACCTAATGCTGAGTGTTGGGATAACGAGCAAATACATGGAGAATCCAAGTTACACACATTAGAAGGTCTTAAAGAGAATTCTGAGATATGTTCGAGGAACCTTATCACTTGGTCTATTCTATTCAAAATTGGATGACTACCAACTAGTGGGTTACTCGGATAGTGATTTGTGTGGTGATGTTGATGACCAGAAAAGTACTTCAGGTTATGTGTTCCTACTCGGAAAAACAGCTTTTACTTGGCTCTCAAAGAAGAAATTCATTATAACTCTGTCAACCTGTGAGGCTGAGTATGTGGCGACCTAGTGTGTGTCATGCAGTTTGGCTTTCAAATTTACTAAGGCATCTAGGAGTGATCCAAGACGAAAGGACTGTAATTCGAGTTGACAACAAGTCAGTGATCGAGTTGGCAAAGAACCCGATTAATCATGGAAGGAGCAAGCACATTGACGTTCGATTTCATTTCATCCGAGAACAAGTTAGAGAAGGAAAAGTTGAACTAGAGCATGTTGAAAGTCGAGCTCAAGCTGCTGACATATTCACCAAACCACTGTCAACTACACTGTTAGAGATTTGTAAAAGGCTTATTGGAATAAGAGATGGGAAGAGTATTTAAGTTTAAGGGGGAGATTTATTGTAAAACTTAAATTAGACGTTTAGTATTCCTAGAATAATATTAATGGTTTTAATTACGAGTGATATAACCAATGGGTTGTAATCCTATTTAATAGGTATTATAATTTACGTTTGGCATTTGAAGAGGCAAATGTTTTGGCCATAAATAATTGTAACAACTCATTTGAAATTGTATAAGGAGAAAAATTGAAAACGTTGATTTGTTTTCCTATTAACAACCACGCCGCCGTCGTGGCCGATGAAGTCCCAAAACGGGTTTCTGCCATCGCCGAATTGGCGGAGGTAAGCTAATAGCACAACCGCATAATTTCCAGTGTCGCACGTGGTGTTCAACTTGCCTTCGCGAATGTCTTGGCCCCAGTAAACGCCAATCCCAGCATTGTCAAGGCTTGAGGAGGTGGAGAATGAGAAGAGGGATGAGAGACATATGACAAAACCTATCCTCTTGCATTCCATCATGATTATGAGAGTGTTCTCGATTTCCTGTTCAAGCTTATGAGGGCAAGAGAAAGAGAACCAATATTTGTAGGGTTTGATGAAGCACGTCCAATCAAACAACTTGTTTATTATTACACTTTTTTAGAGCTAAAAAAGTATTTATAAAGAAAAAGAGAGGAATTATATATCTTCAAATAGTGGAAGAAGGAAGATCTTACAAAAGTTACATTTTTATAATATATTTTGTAATAATATATGATTTAAATATTGAAATATTTGAGTAAAAGTACTACATGTTTTTGGTGTGAGTGTGATTTAGTGGCATGTTTTATGGTAGGGTTTTCCAGCCACTCGTTTTTTTATACTTATTATTATTGTTTGGATCTGTATAATATCTATTTATGCATATGTACAAAGTACGAGATAAGCATGGGATTTAAAAAAAAAAAAATTAAATGGGTGATATAAAGATATACAAATGGGACAAAATTTTATCCCAAAATGGGAGATGGAAATTGCTATCCTAGATTGCAACCTATAGCACCGTAAAATATGAGCAAATATGGAGAGATTAAGTAAAATACGTGAATCATATTATAATTATCTTTATTGCAATCCAGTAAATAAGCTCCACATCAACATCTCACACTCTACTATTACACTATGAACCAAAACATAACAACAAAAAAGAAGAAATGGTGAAAAATGTCTTCACTAGTGCAAAAAAGGCTTTTTATGTCAGGTATTTTAGGTTTACGTCATATTTAAGACTGACGTTAAAACGGGTGACGTAAAATTACGTCGGACCCTTAGCATGACGTAAATTCACGTCAGTTATCGAGACCCGACGATAATTTACGTTGCATTTACACTAAACAGACGTACAAAATATCAAAAATTAAAAAATTTGGAGCAAATTTACGTCACGTATTATTATACGCGACGTAAATTTGCTCCTTTTTTTTTATAAATTGGGTTTATTTTATCTTACAACCAAAACCTGCAAATATATATTATAACCAAACAATCCAAAGGTTCATGTTTCTTTAGTTATGTAATTAAAAAATATAATATTATATATAATTCAAACTACATAATAAAACAATATAATACAAACAATAACTTACAAACTAAAATCTATTACAAACTAAAAGTTAATACAAATTAAAAGTTAGTACAAACTAAGCTACCTAAACTACATAATACACACAATATAATATAAACAATAACCTAAAAAATTAAGTACTAGAATTTTTGAACGAAAAACCTTGTCCATTATTCTCTAATTTGTGTGATATCATATTCTGGTAATGGAGATGAATCTTGAAATACCTGAAACATTAATTTGACTCTTGTAAACATGCAACACACATAAAGTTAAATAAACTTAACTAATGTTGAAAGCAATTACCTCTGTCCAATAATCAGTTATACCCGCACAAACTATGACTCTCATCTAATACATAACATAGTAACCACATTCAAATGAGTCTATTTGCTTATTACACTGAAATGATGAATAAAATATAATGTTATTTTCAAAATTTAAATACAAACAATAATTATGGTATTCACTTATTATAATAAGTTTCTAACCTTAGGATAAATGAACTGTAAAGTCTTTGTTTTGGGTTTTCCACTTAGAACATTAGTTATAGACACGATTCTAAATGAAAAAAAGTCATATATTATTCAATACATTTTCCATTTTCACTAGCAAATTCTAAAAATTCATCAACTCCATTTTCGTACTCTTCACTAATACGACGTGCATTCATCCAACTTCGATTCATATTATGTTATAAAGTTTCGTCACTCCTAGAGATTCAAAATTTATATTTAAAAATAAATTAATATACAAACAACAAAGCACGTAAATGGAGTGTGTAAACCGAAAATGCACTCAAACAAAATAATGACATTCCAATAACAATCCAGTGGAGACATTCATACAATGACGTGATTGAGATCCCCAAAAACAATCACGGATTCAATTTGAACATATATCAGGAGACATAGATCACTAACCTCGAGTAAACACGAAAACGATTTCAAACTCGAATTCAATCAGGGAGAAATGTCAAATTCGTAAAATGAGACACAATGTTGATGTTCTTCACTGCCAAAATGATTAAAATGGTGTGGAAAGGTAGTTGTCGTTCTCATTGTCGTTCTAAAAAACCCTTGCCGCGCAAGATGCGGGAGTGGGTCTGGAAGAGAATAAAAAGAACTTTTTACGTCACACACCCTAGCACGTGACGTAAAAAGTATCACTTTTTATGTCGCGCACACCCCACACGACTTAAAAAGCTCTCTTTTACGTCGCGTTGTACCAGGTGTGACGTAAAATAGATTTTTAACGTCACCTCCTATAATATGCGACGTAAAAGTTTCACCTCTTATTTACAAAATTGCCACCGTGTTTTATTTACGTCGAGTATTTTGATATGCGATGACAATTGGGTGACGTAAAATGTCATTTTTGCACTAGTGCTTGAATGATGTCGTGTAATATATTTACTATGATGACATTTACTACAAATCCAGCACATGCATATAACTATTTCATGACAACAATTTCAGTATCATCTAACAATCAATATAATAAAAGTTATGTTAAAGCATATACTCTTTTTCATTATTAAGGGTCAATAACATGTAGTAAGAAAAAGTCATATATCAACCTCAATATCCAATATGAAAATTTACTAATTAAAATCATAAACATTCAAAATTTCTCTTCCTAATAGACAATAGAAGTACAAATTCAATGATCTAGTTCTAACTAACTACATGTTGTCATCAAACATTAACTAGTAAATTCATTAATTCATCTTCAACAATAAGTATTATGTAATCTTACAATTTCAATAATGAACAAAAACTAAACTAAACCCTAAATCAACAATACACTAACCCTAATCCTAAACCTACATAGACAAAAACTAAACATAATCCTCCATTGATAAAATCTACACTTAATATGTAATCGACAAAAAACTAAACCCAGCAATTGATAAAACCTAAACCATGACCACAACACCACACAAACCTCTACAGCACTTAAGGCAGCTACATCGGCGGCAAGGAAAGGGAAGACAACCCAAGCGGGAAGTAATAAAACACTAAGTTGGAAGCGAGAAGCAATAAAATCCAAAAGCAAAATGCATCATCTATTTGTAACAAACATCATCAAAATTGTCATCTATCTATCCAAGTAAAGCAGGGAGCAATAGAACACCAAGCGGGAAGAAGTGATTAGTAGCGAAAGTGATGGCAAGCTTGAAGGGGCAACAACCCAAATACAATCTAAAAGTAATACAAGCTACACTAGCAACAAAAATCGTGATTGTGTGATTGAGAGTGATAAAAGGTAAGGATGAGGATGAAGATAAGAGTGAATGAGCACGAAACTAATGAGAGTTAGAGCAAGGAGTGCAGTAAGAGAACGAGAGTGAAGATTGAGTGTTGGTGAAGAGTAAATTATTTTACAATTTATTAATTTTTTATTAAGTTGTGGAATGGATATTTAAAATAGAATGTCAAAATATCATGACGCTTTATAGTCCTTTCGTGCAGTCTTCAAAAATTCATGGAATTTATTTACTAAAAATTAAAAGATGCAATGTAAATTTACGTTATTATTCGACCTAATTTTAGGTTTACTATGGCATACGTTAATATTAAAATTTAGTAAAATATAAAAAACTCAAGATAAAAAAGCGTGTTATATTCTACTAGATCTTAAATTTAGCCTAATACCATCAAGATCCATATTTCGTTTTATCACTGTACCTATATAATGTGTTGGATGTTACTGCATCCTAAAATCATAGAACCTTAATTGTATTTACCGTTTAGGTTAATATTTATTACTTTTTACGCAAATTTCTTAAAGTACATTTTCTTGAAATGAACTTAAACTTGTTCGTTGAAGATTCAGACAAACGTAACCAAGTTTCTACCTGGTGCCAACTTAACCACCATTACCCAAAATAGGGAAAGACAGGACCCATTGTGTTCAAGAAGAAAGAGGATTTGGGCACATTGGGCAGTATCTCGCCGCTGAAATTCCTTATAATATCACGATATCTGTTGTACAGAATCACCCCTCCATAGTTGGTGGCTTTCTTCACATGCGGAAGCACCTCAAGATTCACCACATCCGGTTCCACGAAACCACTTTCTTCTTCACTTGAGTCCGCTGGCAGGGCCAGGAACAGCGAGTTATTAGACGCGACCAAGTTGACCCAGTTGTCCCACGAGTCCAACAAGGGCTTGGTGCCGTCCTCAATGTTGTATTCACAAGAGGGGTCGTTGTAGAACTGAACGAAGATGTGGTCGAAAAGTTTGGTTGCGATGGCTTTCCCAAGATTGTGAACTGGGATTTGACACCGAGGGGCAGCAACCAAGTGAAAGTATCGGCCTTTGGTGCGTCGGAAAAAGTCGAGTTCTTTGACAAGGTCATCCCAGTGATCCTCTGTGGCTCTGATGTGGAACTCTATGCCGTCCAACTCCACTCTTCCGATTGGACCAAATCGGCCACTGAGAAAGCTGGTGTAGAGGTAGTTGGCGAAGCGCTTTGCATCCTCGGTGGAGTTGAGGGAGTACTCGTAAAACGTGATGGGTCCTCCGATGGATAGGAACACTTTGACGCCTTTGGCCTGGGAATCAATGGAGAAACACAGCTTTAGCTAAATATGTGCGATTAAAGCTAAGATTTGTGTGGTCTGGTTCTACCTGGCAGTGTTTTATCTGGGACGCTACCACACCGTCGTCGTGGCCGATGAAGTCCCAAAACGGGTTTCTGCCATCGCCGAATTGGCGGAGGTAAGCTAAGAGCACAATCGCATAATTTCCAGTGTCGCACGTGGTGTTCAACTTGCCTTCGCGAATGTCTTGGCCCCAGTAAACGCCAATCCCAGCATTGTCAAGGCTTGAGGAGGTGGAGAATGAGAAGAGGGATGAGAGACATATGGCAAAACCTATCCTCTTGCATTCCATCATGATTATGGGAGTGTTCTCGATTTCCTGTTCAAGCTTATGAGTGCAAGAGAAAGAGAACCAATACTTGTAGGGTTTGATGAAGCACGTCCAATCAAACAACTTGTTTATTATTACACTTTTTTAGAACTAAAAAAGTATTTATAAAGAAAAAGAGAGGAATTATATATCTTCAAATAGTGGAAGAAGGAAGATCTTACAAAGGTTACATTTTTATAATATATTTTGTAATAATATATGATTTAAATATTGAAATATTTGAGTAAAAGTACTACATGTTTTTGGTGTGAGTGTGATTTAGTGGCATGTTTTATGGTAGGGTTTTCCAGCCACTCGTTTTTTGATACTTATTATTATTGTTTGGATCTGTATAATATCTATTTACCATGCATATGTACAAAGTACGAGATAAGCATGGGATTTAAAAAAAATTAAATGGGTGATATAAAGATATACAAATGGGACAAATTTTTATCCCAAAACGAGAGATGGAAATTGCTATCCTAGATTGCAACCCATAGCACCTTAAAATATGAGCAAATATGGAGAGACTAAGTAAAATACGTGAATCATATTATAATTATCTTTATTGCAATCCAGTAAATAAGCTCCACATCAACATCTCACACTCTACTATTACACTACAAGTGAACCAAAACATAACAACAAAAAAGAAGAAATGGTGAAAAATGTCTTGAATGATGTCGTGTAATATATTCTTCTCAAAGCTCAACGTGGAGCACTGTATCATTGTTGGATGATGTGACCATCTCTAAGAGATTTGAAGATGATTCCTCAGTCCTGAATAATCCATGTAAAATTCATTAGTATTTTTATCCTCTCACTACAACAAAAAACACATTTAGCCACCGAAATTAGCGACCGAATTTTTTCGGTCGCAATTAGCGACCGTTTTAGCGACCGATTTAATTTTGGTCGTAATTAGCGACCGATTTAGCGACCACTTTAATTCGGTCGCAATTAGCGACCGATTCAGCGACCACTTTAATTCGGTTGCAATTAGCGACCGATTTAGCGACCAAAATATGATTTATTTTGCACTTTTTTATTTAGCGACCGAAATAGCGACCAATATTTTTGTGTAGCAAAATTTCGGTGGCTATTTCATACTGAAATAAAAAAATCATTTAGCGACTGATTTAGCGACCGAATTACAAATTGAAATAGTGACCGATATTAAAATCGGTACGCTAATGAGAAAATAGCGACCGAATTGAAATCGGTCGCTAATGAATATTATTTTTTTATTATATTTAAATTATTTTTTATAAATATACTTTAATTGTTTTAGTATATTTTTTACAATTTATTTTTTAAAAGTAATTTAGTTTTTAAAAATAATTTAATTTTTAAAATATACTTTAAAAATAAACTTTGGTCTCAATATTAACAAAATGAATTGTAATAAATCAAATTTATTAAAAATTTAAATTGTAATAAATTAAGACTAGAGTGATGTTAACTATTCAATACATTGTTTAAGAAAAGTTTAATAACAAATATTCTTGAATTTATTTTTCAATTGAAAATTTCAATTGAAATTAATTTATATTTTAAAAATTTATATTAAAAAATTGAAGAAAATAGAGATTTAATTATACTTTTAATAAATTTAACATAATAATAGTTTTAATTTTTACTTTTAAATATTTATTTTAATTTTTTAAAACAGAGAAACTATAATTTTAGTTTCTAAATACTAAATTTAAAGAATTAAATTTATTATTATTTAATCTTTTAATTTTAGTATTAAAAATTTAAATTATATTTTATTAAATTAAAATAATATTACAATATATTTTTCTACTTTGAGAATGAAAAATATAATTAAACTAAAACTGAAAATATTATAATACATTTTTAAACTCTTTTTGATTAATTTTTTTTCCTAATTTTTTATAAAGTCAATTTTAATATTTAAAAGTATTTAACATTTTGCTTTCTGAAATGCTTTCTGTATTACCAAATTCCAACTGCAGAGAAACCAAGTGCCCAAATTCCAGGCACCAAACAATACAAAAAGAATGTAAAGAAATGAAAAAGAAGAAACTAGAATGCTCAAACCAATTTATGCAATTCTGCGTAAGTGTTTCTTCTTCAAAAGAAATCAAGTTGCCTCAAGAAAGATTTTCAAAGAACTTCTCAAAAGCTGATGCGAATCTTTCTTGAAAAGAATGCTTGAAGTTTGCTTGATTGATTGCTCAAGGATGTGTAAAAGATGATATTCAATGTATGTTAAAAAAGTTCAAGCCAAACTGTTTTAATACAAGATTTTCAAAACTCATTGGTTTAATTAATCTGTTAAAAGATTCTTTTAATCTGTTAAAAGTGCAGTTTTAATCTGTTAAAACTTCTTTTAATCCATTAATATGTTCTTGATTCTTTAACAGATTTGTTTTTAACCGATACGACAACGTTTATATCAATTAAAACACTTTACAAAAAATCCTCTAAGTTGATTTAATCGATTGTTTCACGATTCAATCGATTGAAATACTGCAAAACTTTCTTGTAAAACTTTTCAAGTTATTTTAACTGATAAAAATAAGTTTTAATCGATTAAAACGTTGTGTAGAAATTTTTAAGTTGTTTTAATCGATTGAAACGAGATTTAATCGATTAAATCGATTCTGATCGGTCATAATTGCATTATGATCGATCATCCTGAACTCTTAAGTGGTTTTAATCGATTAAAATCAAGTTGTATCGATTAAAATATTGTAAAATGTATTTCGCTTGAGCGAAAATGGTCTCGCTCGAGCGAAACGCCTACTGCACAAAATTGGCTTTCTCGGGTTGTATTTCGCTTGAGCGACACCACTCTCGCTCGAGCGAAATACGATTCTGATCGATCATAACTTGAAATAATCGATCATAATTGAGAGGATATAATAGTGGTTCCCTTATAACTGCTATCTGAAGTGTATATAAGATAGCGGTTAAGGTTTAACCGCTATTAGAAGTTACATATTTTAAGATTGTTAAGTCTCGGGTTGTATTTCGCTTGAGCGAGACTACTCTCGCTCAAGCTGAAATCAGATTCTGATCGATTATATTTTCAAAATGATCGATCATATTTGATAATTTTTTCAAATAATTAATTATAATCGATTAGTTTTCTAAATTATTGATTAGAATTGATTAGTTTTTCAAATAATAGATTAGAATTGATTAATTTATGAAATTTATAATTAAAAATATAGATTATTTAAGAATATTAACTATTGTAAAGATAAAGTAGAACATGGGATGAGATGAGGATGATAATATAATGATAGAAGTTACAAAAATGTAGAATTGAGAAATTTGAAACAAAAAAAATGAAGATAATACTAGTTTTGATATTGATTTTTATTTTAATTATTTAAAACAGAGAAACTATAATTTTAGTTTCTAAATACTCAATTTAAAGAATTAAAGTCATTATTATTTAATCTTTTAATTTTAGTATTAAAAATTTAAATTATATTTTATTAAATTAAAATAATTACAATATAATTTTCTACTTTGAGAATGAACAATATAATTAAGAAGATCAAGTCTAATGTTATTGATGCTAATTTTAACAATAATACAATAATATTATTTTCGAAAACGCCCATATGAATGTGAATATTTTGATTATTATTATATAAAATAATTAAAAGAATAAGGTAAATATTATATAAAATAATTAAAAGAATAAGGTAAATAGAAAAGTAAAATGCATGGTTATACCACTTTCCTTTTAATCTATAATTAGTTAGGTATGAATCAAATGTAAAGTCTAATGTTATTGATGCTAATTTTAAGAAGATCACAAAATGTAAATTAAAATAATTACAATATAATTTTCTACTTTGAGAATGAACAATATAATTAAACTCAAAATTGAGAATACTCTTATACATTTTTGAACTCTTTTGGATAAATTTTTTTCCTAATTTTTGATAAAGTTAATTTTAATATTTAAAACTATTTAACATTTTGAATTCTGAAAGGTTTTCTCTAATAGCAAATTTAAAAACATAATATTCAAAAAAATATTTTAAGATTGTGAATTCTCGAGTTGTTTTTCAGCTGAGCGACACTACTCTCGCTCGAAGCGAAATACGATTCTGATCGATCATAACTTGAAATGATCGATCATAATTGAGAGGATATAATAGCGGTTAGGGGTTAACCCCTATCTAAAATGTATTTTAGATAGCGGTTATGGGTTAACCGGTATCTAAATCATATTTTAGATAGCGATTAAGAGTTAACCGCTATTAGAAGTGTTATTCGCTCAGCGAAAATAACATCGCTCGAGCGAAACGCCCCTGCACAAAATTGGCATTCTCGGGTTGTATTTCGCTTGAGCGACTCTAGTCTCGCTCGAGCGATTTTTTGCTCTGATCGATTAGATTTTCGAAATGATCGATCATATTTGATAATTTTTTCAAATAATTAATTATAATCGATTAGTTTTATAAATTATTGATTTGAATTGATTAGTTTTTCAAAGAATAGATTAGAATTGATTAATTTCGAAATATATACTAAAAAATTATAAATAAAAATATAAATTAGTTAAGAATATTGACTATTGTAAAGATAAAGTAGAACATGGGAAGAGATGAGGATGATAATATAATGATAGAACTTACAAAAATGTAGAATTGAGATGTTTGAAACAAATAAAATTAAGAAAATAGAGATTTAATTACACTTTTAATAAATTTAAGATAATACTAGTTTTGATTTTTATTTTTAAATATTTATTTTAATTTTTTAAAAACAGAGAAACTATAATTTTAGTTTCTAAATACTAAATTTAAAGAATTAAATTTATTATTAATATTTTTTAATATTGTTTTAAATGTGGATATCTTTAATATTTTGGACATATAAATATAATTTATACATGTTTTTAAACCTTTTTCTAATATTTGTTTTTAAAAATATAATATCATTTTTAATATTTTATAGATTTTATATTTATATATTTATAAAATTAATTG